ATGATTAGGGTTATTAAAAGGACTCTTTGTTCGTGAACAGCTCGTGTTCGGCTTGTTAAGCAAACGAGTCGAACACGAACACACTTTTTGAGCTCGAAATATACACGAGCTGAGCATAGCTCGCTCGTGCTCGGCTTGTTTACACCCCTACTCGAAACTCCTTAGTGGCATGATTGACGGTTTTAGGATCTTGGAAGGAAAGAAAGAAAGAACAGAGAAAAAAATAACGAAAAGAGAATGAAAAGTATGAGAAAAAAGACAAATGTTGTGGTGGCTTGGTAGGGGCGAATACGAAATCCTAGGATGGGAATAGAGTTAGGCTAGCTCTGATACCAAATAATATTGGAGATAACCCAGATCATGAATAAAAAGACAATGTGATTGTTGAATTCCGAAAGGATTTCAAACATGACACTAGAAAAACAGGAAATAAACAACAAACAAACACTACAATACAAACAGATAAAGACAGCCCTGCTGTTTGATTATGATCGACGACGAAAGTAGCGACTGAAAGGGTGGTTCGTGAGGGAAGAAAGAGGGTTAGCGACTTGCTAGCTGGTGGTAAGCGACTGTTTGGAATGTCCAACGGCTGTTGGGAAAGCCAGATGGACTACTTGGGGGTGATTGGCGAGAAAGACAGCGACTGGAAGCAGTCCTGAGGGAGGTAAAAGGGCTGATAATAGTAGAGGGGTTACGGTTGCAAGAAGAGGGTTGAGAGGTGGCTAGCAGACGTAGGCGAGGACTATGTTTGTTGTGGGAGGGCTAGGAGCGGCTAGCAGCTGTAGGGGAGTGGTTGCAGCTATTGTAAGAGAGCTTGGAGGTGGTTGTATGGGAGGGGTTGCGAGGGTTGAAAGATGGAAGGATAGTAGAGAAGAAAAAGAATGAAAAGATAAATGTCACGTTGGGGTCGAGCTACAGCCGGAGCACCAGACGATCACCACCTCGAACAAGGGACAATAAAAGCACTTCCTCGTCGTCGGATACAGCCCTCGAAGAGGAAAACAGGATTTTGGCAATTGTCCAAACAAAACATTGAATTCTTAAGCAACAAAAGGCTTCCTTTCTCAAGTAAAACAGCCCCTATATATAATAGGAATTAGGACTTATATTAGGCAATGCTTTCAATGAGGAAAAAGAATAAAAATGAAATAATATAATAGGCAAATATTAAGATTTAATAGTCAATTCTTTCAATTGGAAAACAGAATAAAAAGTAATAAAATAGACAAGGATTTATAATAGGGGTTTTCAAGGAAATAAATATTAAATAAATATTATGATAGAAAAAAAAAAGAAAAGGAAAAGGAAAAGGAAAAGGGGAGGAAGAAAATGAAATGGGCGTCGGCAGCCCTTCCCCCCTTGAGAACCAAGCCTGTCTAGCCAAGTTGGAGCGAACCTAGGTCGGTTGTCCCCAAGCCCCACGCCACCACTTCTAGCTACTACCCACTTGAATTAAAAAAAAAATTAGTCACTTAGAAGAGGAAAAAGAAAGTAAACCTAAAACAAAACTCGAGGTCATGCCCACTGAATTTGTAAAGGAATGCGGCTTAAAAGACTATTGAAAATTTAAAAGCCTATATTAAAGAATCAAAGATGATGATGTGTGAAAGCCAAGCTACAATTAGTATTGTTAAAAATCCTATCCACCATGATAGAACAAAATGGTTCGAGATTGATAAATGCTTTATAAAAAATGAATTGAGAAGGGATTATCAAATTTAAAAACACCCTAACAAAGTCTCAAGTTGCTAATATCCACAGAAAAAAAAATCCTTAATTAAATACAATTTGATAACCTCAATTCAATATCCTTGCTATATCCCTTAAATCAAACCTAAACAATCAGCAATCATCTAGAAACAACAATTAATGTCCAACGATCCTATTCATCTCGCTCTAACACCAACCATTGAGCCATCCACTAACCCAATTATGATCAAACAACACTGATTTCATCAAATTAAAAAAGCTGCATTTTTCTTCCCATTAAACCAAGGGTATGATGATCCAACTCCCATCCTAAAAGTTAGGCTTGATCTTCAATACTATTGTGGTATAAAAACCAAGCAACCCTTAACCAGAGGCTTTTTCATCAAACACAAGTTTCAAAGACAGAGTGACTCCTAAATTTAACATCGAAGTCATTGAAAATACCAAACTAACCTCAAACCTCACCACTATAAATCCCTGTCAATGGGAAGTTAATTTTGCGCTAAGCTGTTATTTCCTCCCCTCGACTTGAGCGTTGGAGCATCTTCCAAAACAAAGCACTCCTTGAGACAGTTTCACTTCTCCTTTGGTTGTGTATCATCATAAAATGAACAACCTAAAAATCCCTATTAACTTCCAACTATTCCTAGAAAATTCAATCATTCGAAAGAATTCAATATATAAAACTAAAAAGCTATGAAAACCTACAACCAGTTGGCCTAAGGGTCAGCTTGCATGATTCATAACTTCTTATAGATGCTTACATATATTGTTCCATTGCACTTCATATCATTTTCAGTCAATGATAAACCATGCCAATTCATAGCCTTCCTAATCAACCTTCCAATAAGAACCAAGTTGAGCAACAAGAATCATCACTCCTTCTCTCACTAAAAGAAAGGGTTTGAACGTTATTGGCAATAAAACATGTTTCCAAATCTTGCGGACAAGAGTGTGTGATGATATGAATCTAAGGAAGCAACAAGAGATTTTGCCACAATTTTTAAATACCATAATACCTAAAAAAACATTCTTTTTTCAACAGCAAATATTGGTCTAGTAGAACTCCCTGATGAAAAAAAAAAACCTTATTCATAGCATATCTTAATTTGAGTGTTATAAATAGTAAGGAGATTAATATGCAAATAAAAAGAAATTAAAGCATATATATTACCATGACCAGCTTCAATAATTTCACTTTCCATAGCATTATCAACAACAACGGGACGAGGTGTTGGGATCACACGTATCAAACCTAATGAATCCGCTCTTCGTAAAATCCTAACCTTGGCATTCGCTGGCACTGAAAGTGACCGCGTAATATGTTTCCGGGATAGTGGTTTCTGTTCGAGAACGACAATCATGTAAATGGCTAGTTATAAAAATCAAAATCACTCATTACAAAGTGGGCAATTAAACAACATGATTAGAAAAAAGTAAGGAGAATAAAATGACAGAGGCAACATAATAAAACAATTCAGCATCTCTAGCAAGAGATGCATTACCATTATTTAAACAACCATTCTTTCAAAAACTATATTATCAATTTAAGTGTGATACTACATGGTTAGCCTATAAAAAGAGCAAAATATTGTTTCTCATTCATCTATAATTTATAGGTGCATGTCCAACTTGACAGTTCAAATCAGCCATCAATCAAATTTATGGAATCGCCAAACCACAAAATCCTATAGAGAAGATGAAAATGCGCACAATAACAGCATGGCTCGCTTAAATCTAACTTCATAATGGTTAAGTATAAGTGCAGCAAAGCACAATAGAAGATACTCATCTTTTTAATCCCCCTTGCCATAAATATTATGCACATGACACACTTTGTGATGGCTTATTGTGATGTAGTTAATTATCATGTAAGCACTTTGTGAAAATCCAAAATCATATCACTTCCATGGGATTATTTTGTTAACTCACCAGAAAGAAGTTTTGTAAGTATTAAAGATAAAAAATGGCAACATGTTCAGATAGATAACTAACACGAGTGAGAAGCTATCCAATAATCACTCATTGAAGGCATTATATCCCTAAATGTTACATAAACAAAGAAAATATAAGATTATATCCTTAATAACCTAAAAGCAAGCAAAGCCATAAAAAGATTCGGAGACTAGAGCTTACATCTGGAGCAGGAATCAATCACATGTCTTTCCTGTGAAGACTCTGATCCTGAATTTCCAACAGGTGTTGCCGGTAATGAGAGTGTTCCTTTTAGCGATATGGAAGACAATACCTTGGTTAAAGAGAATGCCCTTGCTATAGAACTTTTATCCTGTTGCCCCTGTGATGGTGCTGATGGGGGCGATGGTGAGAGCAAATTTGCTTTGTCACCTTCTAGAGTGGAATTCTTAGTCTTAAGACTCCATTGGGGAAGAAGATTTCTCACCACTGGTTTCGGCCTTGATGAAGAAGGCCTGGGTGGCAACCCCGGTCTTGTTGAATTAGGTGTTATTGAAGAAGGAATATTTATCTTTGCTGAGTTAATTTGAGTATTCTCTACAGATCTTGGTGGAATTTGTAAAGAGGGAAGGCTTGGGCGTCTAGAACGATGAGTTGAGGAAGTTTCACCTCCACTACACTCGGCTCGATTAAATTCCTGCAAATCCAAACTTCAGTTTAACCCAATCATACGTGGCCTTGCAACCGCCACCGAACAAGCAACACCATCTCGAGCCGTATCCACATCCCAGTTACATAAAAAATCAACTTCCCAGGTTCTTAACAAAATTAAATTAATACAAAAAAGAAGATGACCGCTTAGAAAACTCGCAAGCAAAGATGATTAGATCTAAAACATGAATTACCAGCTCTAGCATCGATATGGAGCTAATCTCAAACCAAGGATCCCATGCTGATTAGCGTGATGAAATGCACCGCTCACAGCAAGGAAAAATAAAACCAGAAAAGAAAAGTGACGGATAGTATTTATAAAATCATTTAAAAATTTGAGCCCAAAACCCTCTAAAAATACACAAAACACCTAACATATCATTGAAAAACAAAATCAATGTCCCAAGCATTCATCCTCCCCACATACATCCACTTCCAAAGCACACTTCCTTTCGTTCTGCGATCACACAGCAAAAAAAACCCCTCAGAGAAATTCACAACAGCAGCAGGTAAAAAGCTCAAAATACAACAAAAAACGACCAACATGCCACAAACTATGTTCATACTGCAAAACCCTAAAAAGGAGTGAAGAAATATTTGCCTGCCGATCAGCAGAATCTGCAGCCGCAACCTTCAGCGCCAGCGGTGGATGATGAAAAACTCCATCGCTTTCCATGAACGATAAATGATCAAACTCCCAATCCCACAAAATAAAACCAAAATCACAAAACAAATCCCTCAGCTCATATATATAGAAATGGATCGCATCCAAACAGTAAGAGTTAATGGGAGTTAATGCCCGACTTCTCTGCTTCCTCGGATGTGCTGGGATTTGATGCTTCAGCAGAATTTTCACTTTTCAGCTCACAGTCCGGACGCAAAATCATTATTAAAATGAATTTATTACATTATAATAGGCATCGGTGGATTCCAGTGGGCTGCAACAGCGACAGTTTGGTTCCGCATGCGGGATTAATTCAACTAACCGTCCAATCAGATAAAGACACGTCATGACTGTTCGTATAGTAGTTTCGAGCGACTTATTATCAATGAGACATTTCGTTAATCACAAGGGAAGGCACAATATGTAGTTCTTAGTGGAGCCAGTACTGTGAGGTTTGCGTCTTTATGCGACATTTCGTTAATCACAAGGGTTGCAGCTATTGTAAGTGGTCGTTCTATAAATCTGTTTTTTTTTTTTTTTTTATGCGGGTCATTACAGGCACTAAGAGCTTGGAGGAGTCACGATGGCAGGCAGACACTAATTACCTCTTGAGTGACGTTGGTAATGCGTTGTTCTCTAATTGGGCAGCTGGTCGCATTCATCCCGCATGCGGAGGGGACAGCAAGCAAACTGTCGCGTTCCAACCTTAATTGTATCCACCATACCTTATAAAAATGGATTAGGCTTGTTTTAGTGGCATTTACGTAGACATCACCCAATTTTATGTGTATTTACATATGTAAAACTTGTTATTTGGGTGTTAAATATGTGAGTGGCAGATGTGTAAATATCGTCAGGTTCAGCAAATCCGAGGAGGCAGAGAAGTCGTGCAAATGTTTGAAGTAGCGTGTGTGTTTCAGGATAATCTATTTATCCTGTTTCAGGATAATCTGTTTATCCTGAAACGCGGCCAGCAGGTCGACCATCGAGCTGCGTTTAAAAAACTCAACTCAAACACAGCAGACAGCGTTTTCAAAAACGCAGAAACGAAACGGTTAGGCGGCGTTTTCAAAAACGTCACCGCACTTATAAGCTGCCCCAAACGGGTCTTAACTCTCACTATTTCAACGTGATCCATTTGGATATATATATGCCGAGGGATTTTTTTTGGTGATTTTAGTTTTATTTGGTGGGATTGGGATTTTGATCATTTGTCGTTCATGGAAAGCGATGGAGTTTTTCATCATCCACCACCGGCGTTGAAGGTTGCATGTAGGGGGGATAAATATAGCGGTATGGTGTCGTGCCAAAGTTTTGTCTGCGTTCTCAAAAAGCTGTAATTGAAAACTTTATTTTACCATCAGATCTAACTACTTGTGGTGTCTGCTAGAAAGTTATGACCTAACTCTGCAAAAAAAAGTAAAATTATAATTGCCACAACAGATTTTTGAAGAGCAAACTCTTCTTCAACAGCTTCACAGACAATCTCTTGTATGCGAGAGAAAATATACAATTAGACAGTCATCATTTTATTAGCCATAGTAATATAATAATTTTGATGGTGTGCTAATAATTTTCGGAAATGTGCAATGCGAATCTATCTTTTAAAAAGGCGTGCGGTGTAAGATCACACCGGAAAATCTCAGGGCATTATCTATTGCTATTGTCATCTTAAACGAATTAGTTGTGTTGAGTTCTATACCTTTTTAACTTTAGAGATTGTGACTTCCATAACTTACATATAAATATATTTGATATTAAATTAGTTAATTTTTTTATATATTATTTATAATTCTTAATTTTACAATAATTATTTGATTCATGAATTTAATATATTTCAAAAAAAAAAAAAGAAGTTATCTAATTTTATTCTATTTTATAAATTGATTAATAAATTTTAGAATATAAAATATATTTTTTTTCTTAATGTTGTACTACAATAATTATCAAATATTAGAGGGTAGAATATATTACGGGTAGACTATATCACAATTAATACTAGTGATAAATCAAAGCATAATATAATTATAAAAAAATAATAATTTCATTAGTTGTGTGACTATTAGATTTTAGTTTTTGATAAATTTTTAGGTATTGGATACTTTGCATGATTAAACTATAATCAAAACTGAAATATTTTTTTTTTTTATTTTTTAAATATGGATAAAATATAAAATAAAACATATATAGTAATATCATGTATTTTAAAAAATTAGATGTAAAAATGATTGTGATTTAAGATGATTTTTTTTTTTGGAAATATTTGATCGAGATGATATTAAAAATATTATAGTTTTTAAATTTGGATTGATATTCTTTATTAAAAATATCTCAACCTCTTTTAATTAGCTACTAGTAGCAAGTACATTTTTTTTAATATATAAAATATATTTCCTATGGCAAATTTTTAAAATTAATTATCACATAATTCACTTCTAATGCTATAATACTATGTAAGATTTTCGATATAAAGAAACAATATTAAATATTTCTCTTAATGGAGCACTTGAATTAATTATTATTAACTTTAGAGGGTGATGCATGCTAGAAAATTCGTGGCGGCAGAGTAATGAATTATCGTCTTACTGTTACACGATAGTTCAGTACATGCTCCGATAAAAGAAAACAATCAGTAGTGATGCGGGAAGTTTTTAGGTGAAAACCTGTAAAATCTCATATGAAATGTAAACCGGATATTACAAGTATAAGAATTACCAATGAAAAATTTGATGATGAATGCAAAGTTAGGTACTAAGAAATAATCTCAATAATTGCTATGATCATATGTTTTGCTTGCAATACATATCATTTATAATAAATTTTCGGTAAGCATGTCATTTAAATGTCGTACCTTGTTCTCATGCTGGTCTAGTTGCCCGATATTGGTCAGAGAGGATTGACATTTTGACAAACCGTGTTCCATTTATTGGCCGGAAGTATGTCAAGTAACATTTTTTTAGATCGAATAGTATAATAGCATCATAGTTTATGATTCACAATGATTGAACCGATCGACCCTGTATTCAAGAGTTGATGAGTAAAGTTGGGCGAATGTATTATATTGTCATTGAAATTAATTTATGATGTGAAAAATTCATCCATCATATATGGTTGAACTAAGGAGATAACTAACATATTATATACAATGATATAGATCCCTAGCATTACTTTACTTTATGAGGGCATAGATTCAACTAATTTTAAAAATATGCAAACTTAAAAATGTCATTATAATTTTAACTGAAGAAATGAAAGTTAAAAAAAATCTAAAATTAATAAATGAGATGACAAATTTAAGGTTTATTTGGGGCAGCTACAACATATTAAAAAATAATTATGAAGTTGCTGAATAATAATCCGATACTCAAAATACTGCGGTGGTTATTATATATAAAAAATAATCTGCTGATAAACTAGGTGTAGTAGCTATTACAAATTTTTATTTTTTTTTTGAAAAAGTCAAACCGCAGCTAGAAAGCTGCCAGCCTGTCACCGCATCTAGCAAGAAGTGGTGGGGGTTTGGTTACAAATATTCTTAGCTTAATATTTATATTTGGAATTAGAATTATACGAAGTATTGTATACTATTTTTAAATTTAGCATAAATTATATAATAGATTTAATTTCAGTGTATATTTTATTGAAATTAGAATTTTTTTTCTAACAAAAAGTGTGAAAACAGAATTTATGCCAATCAAAAATGGAAAAGAGAAAAATCAACTGAATGATTGTTACAGAAGTAATGCATGAGCTAAAATACCATAAAATTGATATGAACAAATTTGAAATGATTTTAAGGCATTATATGCAAATGAATTTTTGTTGGTGAAGCCTTTTATGGAATTGGAAAATATTTAATAATATTCTTAAGAGCTTGAAAAATTCATTTGAAAAATGGAAGATTTACATGCATGCCACCCAGTTCCTATGTATTTACATATCTAACATCTAAAGTTTAATTTTTACATATATACCACCATATTAATATAAGAAAATGTGTTTTAAAGTTTAAAAAAATATAATAGTGATATTTTGATGTGATGTAAAAATTTAGGGTGGTAGAAATGTAAAAAATATTCATTAAAACAAGATTTACATACATGGGACATAATTCCTATGTATTTGATTATCTGACCCATAAACTTTGTTTTTATATCAATACCACTTTACATATGCACCAAAAGGTGCATTCCACTTTGTTAAAGTTGGTGATAGAAGCATTTTTAATGTGAAAAGAAAGACCTGAATGTTAGAAATGTAAAAATCAGGTGTTAGATGTGTAAATTCATAAGAATTTTGTGGTATGTAATTAAATGCCCATTAAAAATTTGTATTTCAATCAATTTAACTCATCCATGTTTTTAAACATTAAAAAAAAATCTTTTAATAGAGAAAAGGAGTTCTTCATGATGAAAGGATTTGATGGAAAGGACGAGTTTCAGAAGGTCTTAGTGTTACAAACAACTTAGCGTTGTTAATAATTTGATTTCGAGCCGAGCTAAGTTCTGCTCAAAATTGGCTAAGAAAAATTCGATCTAAAATTTTGGCTCGTAGCTCTGCTCGTCTATTTTCATCTGATCTCGATCCGAGTCAAAATCTAATTAATTTTTCAGCGATTAACAGTCTTCAAGC